TTTTTTTTTTTTTTTTTTTTTTTTTTTTTTTTTTTTTTTTTTTTCTGGATCGAAACATGGAACATTGGAACTGCAATGGTGCCTCCTCCTCCTTCAGATATCCTACTCCTACTCCTCCTCCTCGATCTCTCCACCTCACCTCCTCCTCCCCCTCCTCCTCTTCGTCCTCCTCCTCCTCCATCCCTAGTCGTCGTCAAGGTCTCGCCATCTTTTCTGATGTGAACTTCCGACTTAACTGGTATCTCCTCCTCCACCCCTCCCGTCCATCTTTTCTCCACCCTTTCTCCTCGTCCTCGTCCTCCACTCCACCTTGTCCACCTTTACTCCTCCATCTCTCTGTCTCTCCTCCTCCATCCCCCTCCATCTTTCCTACTCCATTTCTGCATCTCTCCTCCTCCACCTTCCATCCTTCTTTTCACGGCTTCGACAATTTTGTTTCTCACGGGAACTTTGAACTCTTGAACTGGCGTGGTATCTCCTCCTCCTCCTCCTCCCTCTCCACCATCCCTTCTCTTCCTGACCTCGTCGTCATTCTCCTACGTCTCTCATCCTCCATCTCCTCCTCTTCGTACTCCATCTCCTCTCCTCCTTGTCATGGCCTCAACACTTCTTTTTTTTTTTTTTTTTTTTTTTTCGAATATGGGCCCTGTGCCCAAGGCTGATATTTTCAATAAAAATATTGAGGCCGGGGTCCTCACAGTCTACCCGGAATGAATGAAACCAGGCTCAAATTCCCTTGAAAAATATCCATAATAAAAGAGACTAAATACTGAAAAAAGCCTCTTTAGCCTCTATAGCCAGATAAAACATGACAAAGCTAGCTATTCCAGATTTAAATCTCCTCTCTGCCCAACCAAGACATGTCTACCAACGATAAATTAGAAGAGGGGAAAGGGTCAGAAAAGAATTCCGGAGATCTGAGGGAATCACCTGCTTCAAGTGAGAACCAATCCTTGAATTCGAGTTGGAAGTCTCTTTTGAAAAGGACTTTTGCGCCTGTTCCTCCTGGCCACTTCACCTCACCCAGACCTCCTCCCTCATCCCTCCCCAATCTCTTTCAAATTCTTGAATATATTTTCGAATATCCTTTCTCTGTTGAAGCATATTTAACTTAATTTTGAGTTTTACCCATTGAGAGCGAATCTCTGTGTGTAACATTTCTATCATAATGGAAATTGTTTTTTTAATGTCTAATCTGACTTGTTCTCTTTCATGAACACATCGTCTATACCAGATTGTCCAAAGCATCACTGTACGCCCCACCATATATAGGTTGTATTGAAAAAAGGAGAGTTGAGCATTTGTAGGTTCAAAATGCCCCAGAAGTATACTCCTCCAATCCCATAGCCACACTTTTCCTGTAAGTTTGTTCCATCTGCAGTCCCAATGTCTCCATAAAAAAACTGTACTAGGACATTGCATAAAGATGTGCTCAATCGTTTCACATATTTTTCGGTTCGGATATGCTAACAAGCAAAATTTGCACCATGGTGTAGCGAGGCCTTTTTGCTCCAATGATGAATGGTCAATGAGCCAGTCATTTGTGGGTAGACAACGGTGAATTATCTGCCATTGTAAGGAAGCAAATTTTGCCGCTCCCTGTTTACAGTTTAAAAAATATATATATCTTTTTTATCACATTAATATCAATATTCAGATGCCTCGCCTATCTTTCTTGTATTATTGCCAATAGGTCTACTTTGGGTCTCAGCATCCTATAGGTAGATTTGACCGATAGTGTGAAGAGAATGCGTGGTTTACCTTTCTCATAGGTCTGCCAGATCCATTCTTCAGGGTTGAACGGAAGCTCTGGGATGGGGAGTTCAGGGTGGAAGGTCCTCCATCCTTTGAGAGAGGGGACATAAATTGTTTTTATACGATATATTGTCAAGAAGGGGAAAAATAACACCTTGTCCTCTTGATCCTTCATCAGTAGATGTTCATTTGTTATCGACATCAGGCTAACAAAAACCCCATCCTTGTCGACATAGACTACCTGTCCAATACATTGTTGATTATCGTATTGAAAACCTACCACCCAGTCTGCTTCTTTGAAATTTTGACTTTTTTTCAGAGTTCTTACCCAGGCTAATGGAATGGCAAATATCCTTGTCATGGCCTCAGCAAAGTCAGCACTTGTTTTTTTTTATTTTTTTTATTGAAACATGGAACTGCAATGGTGCTTCCTCCTCTTTCGGATATCCTACTCCTCCACCTCCTTGTCCATCTCTCCTCCTCTCCTCCTCCTCCTCCTCCTCCTCCATCCCAAGGTCTCACCAACTTTTCTGATGTGAACTTCCAAGTTGATTGGTATCTCCTCCTCCACCCCTCCCCGAAGTGCTAATTTCATGGAGTTTTAGGATGGTTAGTGTGGTAGGAGGGGGTCTAGCATGGTAGGAGGTGGTGCCAAGTTTTGAGACGATGCGGGATGAGGTTGATTTCCTGGTTGCTGTCAGACGGTTCCCCCTGTCTGCAGGTCAGAATGGCGAGTACCAAGTACACTTCTGCTATGGTAAAGCGGCATTGCAACGTGGATGGGGTTGCAGGGAAAGATCCAAGCAAGGGTGACAAATGGTGGGTCTGCAAGTACTGCGATTTGAAATTCTCGGGCAGCCTGAACCGTGTTAAGGAACATTACTCAAAGAGAATCTGTGCGGCACAGCAGAGCAAGAAGGTTTTCACGGATGAAGAAAAAGAAGCAAGGAAGCAGGGGTTGAGACAGGCTCTGGCTGACGTGGCGATGGCGAATGGCGACAACAGTCTTCTTAGTGGATCTAGTTTGGCTACTGCACCAACGGCTGTGGAGAATGTGGGTAGGGGCATGGGAAAAGGGGGTGGAGCATCCGACACGCAACGATCCGCTTCATCTGTGTGGCAAATGGTGCTGGAGGAGACGGACAACATCATAACGAAGAACGAGATGACGTCAAGGAAGGTCGACAACTGGCTGACCTGCACGAACCAACCTTTCAATATGGTCGAGAATGAATTTTACCTTGACATGGGAAATGCTATACGGAATGCCCATCCCTCATGGCAGATGCACAGCAGGGAGGCCGCAAGGAATGGTAGACTGGATGGCCAGAACAAGAGGTGCATCGAGGATGTGCGGATGATTGCAAAGAAGTGGGAGAGAACAAGGTGTATGGTGCAGATGGATGGGTGGTCCGACAGGCGAGGGAGACCGCACATCAATATCATGGTCTCCTCCCCTGTAGGGAACGTCTTTTGGAGGTCCGTTTGTGTAGAAGGGAAGGAGAAGGACTCCATAGCGTACTACAACATCCTGGATGCTGCGATCCAGGACATTGGACCCAAGTGTGTGGTCGGGGTGATCATGAACAATGCTCGAGTTTGCGTCAAGGTGGGGAAGCTTGTTGAAAAGAAGTACCCTTGGATCTTCAGGGTTGGTTGCACAGCGCATGCCCTCGACCTTGCATTGGAGGACTTCGACAAGTGCATTGGATGGTTTTCCAGGACAGTCAAGAGAGCGAACGAGTTGGGGAAGTTCATCATGAACCACGACAAGGTTCGTGCATTCTTCCTTGAACGTTCTGGCCTGGCACAAATAAAGAGGCCAGGAGTGACAAGATTCGCAACAAATATTCTCATGCTGCAGTCCCTTTGGGACGGAAAGAATGCCCTCAAACTTGCCCCAGGTGCTAAGGGCTGGGTGTCTAGCATGGTGCGGACTGATCTGCGGTCCAACTTTGAGGAAGCCACGACCACTATCCTTGACGAGAGTTTTTGGGACGATGTTGAGAAGTCCATCAAAGCCACTGAGGCTATTGTGAAGTTATTGAGGATGGTGGACGGTCCAGGGGCCACCATCAGCAAGGTTTATCATCATATGGACGTCGTGGTGGAGGGGATCAGGACGTTGGAAGTCCTTACGGACTTTGAGAAAGCGGAAGTGGAATCGATCCTCATGGATCGATGGGCATTCAGGACGTCGGAGCTGTATTGTGCAGCAGCGTTTTTGGATCCGGAGTTCCGTGCACAGTCTGCCATCCACGATACGGAGATCCGGGCGGGGTTCAACATATGGTTGTACACATGGGCCTCGTCAGACGATTTGAAGGACATCAGTTGACAAGTGGATGACTGGGTTCGCATGAAGGGTGCATTGGGGTCGAGAGAGGCATTGCATAGCGCGCGATTGAAGACCCCGTCCATGTGGTGGGACTCGTTCGGGTCACGCTTGAACCTCCTGCAGCCCCAAGCGATCAAGCTGTTAGGACAAGCAAGCTCGTCTGCTGCTTGTGAGCGCAATTGGAGTTTGCACAAACTCATTTTCGGCAGGAGGAGGACGAAGATGCTGCTGGGCCGTCTCGCCAAGCTTGTGTACAATAATTGGAATCTCCACCTGCAGTGGAGGCAAGAGAAGGGGGCTGGCGAAGACGATGTCCACATCCCGTGGATGGAGGACTTACCGGATGCAGAGAACAAGGCGGAGGCAGAGCGCTATTATAACGAGTGGGTGCAGAAAGTAAAGGTGAGCACCGAGGATATGGCGGCTGGTGCAAAGGATGATAGCGCTGTCATTGCAGAGCTGGACGATGAAGGTGATCTGCCTTTGGCAAGGAGATGGGTGCGCAATGACCGACTTGACAACATGATGGACGAAGAGGATGACCTCGCTCATATTGAGAACTATACGAACGAGTGGCAGTTCTACACTGCACCGGGGAGGCATAGAGAGCGCTTGTTGAGGAGGAGATCAGGGCACGAGCGACCAGACCCATTAGTGGAGTACAACGTCGAGGAGCGAGAGCGCGCATTGCGGGCACGGGAGACAGGCGATTGGGTGGAAGGTAGATGCCCAGGGGGCAGCAGCGGAGCAAAACGACAGCAGCAGCAACATGCTGTTGAAGTCCGTGCTGCGGAAAAGCGCCCGGCCGAAGAACAACTTTCGCCGCCGAAGAAGAAGAAGAGAGGACGCCCCACCAATGCCGAAGTGGCCGAGAGGAAAAAAGTGGAGAAGGCTGCGAAGAAGGCTGCAGTGGCAGAGAAAGCTGCTAGGAAAGCAGCAAGGAGAGCAGCAGCGAGAGCTGCTAAGAAAGCTGCCAGGAGAGCAGCTGCTGCATCTGCGGATGCCCCGATGTCCTCCCGCCTGGTCACAAAGGAGGCAATGAAACAGGGGGGGAAGCGGACGGCGGTGATCCTCGATGATGATGAGTGTGAAGAATCGTCCTCCTCTTCATCATCATCGCCGTCGCCATCTTCACCTTCTGCATCAACTGCAAGTGGGGAAGATCAATGTGAGGACCATGTTGGGAGTAAAGAAGAAGGGGGCGAGGATCAGGGGAGTGAGGAGGGTGGTGACAAACTTGTCGATGGAGGTGGACAGGAGTAGATTGGGTGGGTGAGACTGGTTGTGCTTTTTGGATGGTGTCGCTTCTAGACTCCAAATGAGCATGATGCTCATTTGATTAACTTCAAGGTTTCAATATTTATGGACAGCACTGCACTTTTTCTGCTTTCTTCTCTTTGCTACTTTGCAAGTTTGCACGTGTTTGCACTTTGTTGTTGTTCTGTTTTGTGTTCGGTTTCATTTGCTGCTTGCAGGTTTGATGATGACGCAGTGTTTCTGCGTCGACAGCAACTACCAGGTGCGTTATATATCATCCCCACCTCACAGTGCTTTAAAAAAAAAAAAAAAAAAAAAAAAAAGTTTCCGGACAGGACCGGACGGGGGACTGGACCTCCCCGCACAGTTCGCGGACAAAACCGCACCGGACGGACGATGGCCCTACCGGACAGCGTGCTGCACGGTGTGGCCTTGTCTGGTACGGGTACGGGCCTGTAGGCCAGACGGGAAGGTCCCGGCCCGAACCCCGTACGGCAGACCGGACCGTGCGGCGCACGGTACGGTTGCAAGTATGCTCCAAACAGATGCAACAGGATGCAATAGGATACGAATTAGAAATCAAATTACAGCAGCAAGATCTCGGGATGTAAATTCCAAGGATGATTTAGGGGTCGAAGACCCCCAATTATAGAGGTTATCTGAGCTATTCGAATCCGGACTCACGATTGCAAAGGATCAGAAGTATTTGTGGAAGAATCCATAGAAAAATTCATAGGATCTTGAGTATAGACCTTAACTTTATTAAATCGAAAATTACGATTTTCTTGTAGGAAATTTCCTAGGAAATATCTTCAAATGAGTATTATCAATTTTAAGAGTGAGATCCAATTTAATTGGAGTCTGAAATCGAGATTGAGAAATTTTCAAATTTGTGGGATTAATCAGTCAATTTTAGAGATCGAAAATCAGAAGCAAGACTTTGAGATGTAAAATCCAGAAGTGATTTGGAGATCTGTCGACCCACAGATTATATAGACCTTTATCTTTTTAGATCGAAAAAAACGAATATCTGAGATTTATCTAATATGTCTGAAACCGGACTCACAATTGAAAAGGATCAGGAATCTTGTTTGAGAGTTTCTTTAAGCAGATATCAGAACATATTCTGTTAGTCATCCGGCAGCCGACGAATCCAGATTATGCCAAGCGATCAACCCAAGAGAGGGCCGATCACGACTCATGAAATGAAAAACCAAAGTTATTTATGAGTGAAAAAATGGCTCAATCCTGGGAAACCGAGTCAGAGACGAGTCAGAAAACAAGTCAGAATCAGGTAATGAAATCCCAGTTATTGTTAAAGGAGAAGCACATGCAGATGAAAAGTTAGTTTGGCCAGTACATGACGATATAGGCAACTATTCCAAATAAAAAGCCCCCCTCCCCTCTTCTCCACCCTCCCTACTTACCATGCATCCCCTCAAACCCTGCCCCAACACCTTCGGGGGAGGAGGAAACGTCCTTCCTCCCACTGCTAGCCACTAGGCGCTAGACAACACTAGCACCGAAGGCTTCGACCGTCTCCTGCTTTCCACCAGAAAGAAACCGCAGACGGTGTGGCTCCTCCTACTAAACCCGCTAGCAAGACGCCACAGGAGGTTCAAACCACCATAACCTTCCACTTACCTCGCCGCTTGGAGAAGAGGAGAGAAAAAGACCTCATCGCCGAACCAGCCAGTTGCCAATACTCCAGACCCGTGCCCAGCACAGAAATTCCATGTATGCAGGGCTGATTGTAAGAGATTCCAGCGCCAGTTTCCAAAGCATGCACAACGATGCGCTGTTCCTTCCTCCACGCTCCCGGAAGACAAGCGAGAAACCCATCAACTCACCGCTGCGCACTTCCACTTTGCTTCGAACCATCTCGAAGTTCCATCCCACCAAAGCGCGCGTCAATCCACCCCGTAGTAGCTAGGCAGCTCCCACTCTCGCTCCCTCGGTATCTCCCTCCTCTTACTTTCGACATCTCCTTTTTTT